TGGGACATCAAGCAACACATTGGGATCAAAATCACAAGCTTCCATCCCCTGAAACGTAAGAACGACCTCACCCTGTGCATGAAAAATTCGAAGCTCTTACATCTCAATTCATGCACATTCAATCAGTTTTGATATATGATTTGTGTTCCTTATTCAATTCTAATGCTAATCTAACGTTTCAATTTTGTTTTCGTGCATCATACAAGAATTTGCCATTAACACATTCTAGGTTTTCAGAGGTTCAAAAAGAGGGTCTCTTTGTCCTGGAAAAATTGACCTCTAAGATCCATATCATCAGAATCAACAGCTCATGGCCAGTGGTTTCCATGCCTCGCGCTCAATTTATGAGCGTCTGAGCTCTAATCGCTATTTTTTGTAAGGGCCTTTTCTGAAACGGTGTAAAAACCGTTGCCAATGCTTTGACATTTTCAGGAAAATAAAACATTGGGGAAGACGATTGTTTGTCATGCTGTGATTGGCTGGTTTGAATCCAGCGTGCATTTTTTTATTTTTACAACACTAACGCGTTATTTTGTTTATAAATTTTGTTTGTTATTTAACTTACAAAGAAACAACTTGGCACAGTTGGTAGGCGTGTAGGTGGATAACCAAGAGGACCTGGGTTCGATCCCAGGTCTTCACTCTCTTCATATTATTTTGTGTTTAGTGATTCCATGCAGGATCAGCATCAAGGCACATCATGCGCTCTCAACATCAAACCATTCACAAGGCTAGGGAGATCAAATCAAAGGCTCAGATCTGAAGACCATGATGGGTCCTAGTCAAAGCTACCACACGTGGCCTGAAAAAGTCAAGCAAGGCTTCAGTAATGGGCCAGAAATTGCTGAGGCCAACCTCCAAATTAGGGGCTTCACCCCCTTAGGTTTTTTTGCAATTTTCTTTCTTTTCTTTATTCTTTTTTTTATTATTTTTATATTCTTTTAATTGTTGTTTTCTTTTAATTAATTAATATTTTCAAAATATAAAAAACACAAAAAATCAGAAAAGATAAAAATAATAAATATTTTATTTTTAGTATTAATTTCATAAATAAATCCCATAATTAATTTAGATTTAATTTTAGGTTGTAATTTAATTCTTTATTTCACAATAAACCAAAAATAATAAAAATAGATCTTTAACACTTTTTTACCCTTTTTTTTTAATTAATTAAATATTTTATCATCAACCATTAATTTTGTAAATTAATTTATAATTAATTTAGTTTTAATTCTAGGTTTTAACCTTAATGCATTTTCTTTAATAAATTAAAAAACAATTAGAATTAGAATTAATTATTTGACTTTTAATTAATTTAATGTCATAAATACAAAAACATAAAAAAATAAGTTCTTCCTTTTTATTTAATTTAATTATTTTAACTTAATTATTTTAAATTCCTTCAAAGGGTTCAACGCCCTCGCATTCGATTATGTTTTTGTTCGCGCGTTTTATTTATTTCTTTTGTGAATATAATGTACTTGTTCCAAAGCCCTGTAATAGTTAATTAGGCATTTATTTTCTATACTTTATTTTAAATCGGGTCTGGATTAATTTGGCGTTGTAGACCCGCGCCTTTGTAATAGCGTAGGACCTTTTATCTTTTCCACACTTTAAATTCCCGCACCTTTAACTGTTAAACAATAACATGAAAGAATGAATGCCCAAAAATAAAATCAAAGCGTAGATCACCAATGCATGACAAGACAAACAATAAACTGAAAATGACACACAATTCACACACCACCCCTAGGGTACGCTTCACTGTTGCCTTGCCCCTCGAAAGGTGATCGTCGAGTAGAGGATGTCTTAGTAAGTCCTCATGATCCGGGAACCTGGCATGAGGGTAGCTTCTAAGGTGTCTTCCCATTGCTCTGGTGATCACCATGTCCCGAACCTCGAATTGACCCAAACACCTCCAACGGTGGTGCTACCTACCTCTCAATGGTGGGATGGCACTACCTAAAGGACAATTACACAGCTTTATTCCTTAGGGTAGGTAGATGACTCATGGATACTTGCTCTTTTCAAAAACAAATCAAAATACTTTTCACACCTTACACTTTTCAAAAAGCTTTCAAAACAACTTTTCAAACACTCTTGAGGACTGATACAAGAGTCGATCTGAAACTTTAAACGAAACTTTTTCAAACCCACTCACACTTTGAAAAGCAAACAAATTTTGAAAACACAAATGAGCAAGTATCTAAGAGCCCATGGATAACCATGGATAGAAAGGGTGCTAACACCTTCCCTTTCTATAATCTACCTCCCGAACTGAGAGACATCTCTTTAAGGAATTTTTCTGTGCTTTTGTCCTTTCCATTTGGAGAAAATAAAAGACGGTGGCGACTCTTGCTTCCGCGACATTTCGCGAACCAGCTTAAAAACAGTCAGTTCCAGATCCACCGATCACACTTATATCACAGCTATTTTATAAAATAGTTGCGCTCGATGTCTTGTTATGAAACCTGCATCATTTGATTACAATCCCTAATTACTTGGGTGAAGTCATAACCACTAGAGATTTGATCGAATATACATTGAAATTTTAGCACTTGCAATTCAGATGTCAAGACTAATGTCTCAACACAAAACACAATGTCAGGACAGTTGTTATAACATCACATGCTGACAGAAACTTGCTAAAGCTGGAGATAATGCATAAAGATAAATTGAAAAAAATTAAACAACGCAATCAATTATTAACCCAATTCGGTGTAACGTCACCTAATCTATGGGCTACTAAGCCAGGAAGGAAATTCACTATGATAGCATTAGTTCAAAGCTAAACCGACCCTAGTTTACAACTTCTCGCTTAATCACTACCTTGTGCAACTTCTACCTAGAAACCTCTAGATATGAGATCCCCCTCTCACTTTTAATTACGTAGTGATACCTACAGTCACAAACCTTGTGACTAGACCAAAAGAACCAAATATAAGATTACACTTCAAATACAAAAATACTTAGTTTTTCTTAAAAGCTTCAACTAAGAATAATACTCAACTCTTTGCTTAAAAGCTCATGAGTGAGATCAATAAATTGATATAAAATCAAGTAACAATCAGTCAACCTCAGTGCATCAAAAGATACATGAGTGACATACAAAGAGCACAAACACTAATAACTTAAAAGACCCCCAAAACCATAATCCTTATGTTGCATCCACAATTTCTTCAATGTGAATGCTTGCTATTTTAGGTCTAGCAAGTCCTTATTTATAGACTCTTGAAGTACAGGCGTGAACTCTTCAAATCAAATCCAATCTTCACTTTTTAAATCAGTTATAATATCTTCACATAATAGGACCAAATATTTTAAAGTTTCCTAAAAAGTCTCCAAGATCCTTTTTAATGAAACCAAATCAAATATGCACATGTTCCCAATAAATCTCCTTGACATGCGAAGAATAACGAGATATATCCAAAATGATCTCTCAAAAACAAATCAAATATGTGAAGAGATTAAAACAGCAGCACATACTGCATAATAAGCCAATATGTCAAGACATTTAGCTCAACATCTTTCTGATACACATGATAGTAGAACCTGTCATGACAGTTGGTTAAGATGTTGTGAGATCTTGCTCAACATCAGTCTAGAACCATGTTTTAGCAAAATTTATACCAATCTTAAAACCGTGGATTTAACATTAATTAACTAGTCATTACCGAGTATGCCCTATGTCTAGTGATCATAAAAAACCTCCTAACATTATTTAATTCCAATAGAAAAATCTTCAATTATTTTTCAATTGCTATCTAGATCGATACTCCTATTCCGTCGATAGAAAAAACATTAAACACAAAATATTATTGAATAACTATAAGAAAATCATCATTATATATTTAGAAGATCTAAGCAAATCATATGGTACACACTACTGGGGGGAAAATTCATCTCATGGGACTTAAACAAAGGAAACTAGTCATTCATCCTTAAGGGACTCATGGCCAATTTAATAAAAGAAAGAAATTAATTATTACAACCAATAAGGGATGAATCCCTAATGATGCTTTTCCTTCTCCCCTGATCTAATGCTCTAAAATATGTAATTCGGCCATGTCCTTCCATATCTCGCATGTGAATGCCTTGTTTAAGGGGTAGGTCGGTCCAGACGATGTTGGCTTGCGGTAGGAAGTAACAACGTAACTTCCTAGAGGAAATCAACAATGCTAACACCATCTTTTCTATATTTAGGTTAGTGTGTTTCTTGTGTGGCCAATGCTTTGGATACAAAGTACAATGGGCTATGGAATCTAGTTAGATTTTGTTTCTCGGATGAGGAACGCGCTGGCTTCTTTGGAGGAAACCGCCAAGTAGTGGAATATTGTTTCCATGATTCCTGGTCTATATTAAACTAGCGGGTAGATATGGTCACTTTCAACAATAAAAACACTTGTTTTCATTTTGGGGTCCAATTAAAATGTGCCTATTTCTTTAGAAAGCATTAAAATGGTATGGTGACCCAACTTTGAGATGAATTTATTTAAGGTCATGAGCACCCCGTTTAGCTTAATTATTTCTTTTTTTTTTATGATTGGTGCATCCATTTTGATGACCACCCCACATTTGCCTGAGTTCGCTTCAATGCATATCTTCGCCAGATAGAATCCCAAGAATTTTACAGTACTCTAAAGGTATACTTCTCTGGATGAGCCTCATATTGTATTGTCAAACCCGTTGGAACACATTAGTCAGGTGTCTTTCACGTTGCTCTTCTTTGTTGGACTTGACGATCATGTCATCCATGTAGACTTCTAGTGCTTCACCTATTTCCCCTCCAAATACTCTATTCATCATTCTTTCGTATATCACTTCAGTCTTCTTCAAGGGAATCAAATACAATTTTTTGGGGTAAGCTCGATTGAGGACGATGTTAGCTCTTAGGCACTCAATAAGGCCTTTTCTCACTAGAATTGGCAGTCTAGGTCCTATATGAATGGACGTGGCTGGATTTTTGTTGAGGTTAAAAATCTTGAAGTTTCCATATGGAATTAACCCCGGGTTTTCACTTTGGTTCCCACCTGGGAGTCAAGCTCGTCACTCGGTATGGTTTCATCTTCGTGAAGATCTAGATCAGTTAGAATCGTCTCGTATTCCCTAGCGTGAGATGTAAGGAACTGTCTGATCAAATCGATTAAAAATAAATTTTATTAGATTGTAATGTTTTTTAAACATAAATCATACTTCTTCTTCTTCTTCTTCTTCTTCTTCCATCCAATACATCTTCAGCATCAGAGCAGATGTTATGAAGCTGCCTCAATGATAGAGAGTAATTGTGTTAGGATTATGGAGTTAAATTAGAGAATTTAAATATTTTATTTGCAAGAAGAATTTATTTTGGTTGAAGTTTTATTTGTATTATTATTGGGCTTTTATTTGTTATTGGACATTTTAGTTAATGACCCATTAGTATTATTATGTATGTAGTGTCTTTGACATATTTTAGAATATCAAAGAAATGAAATGAAGTTTATTTTTATTAGTTATCTTTTATTGTCTTTTATTTCATAGCTTTATTTAGTAATGTTAGGAAGCTTTATTTTAGTATTGCCCTAACATTACTAAATAAAGCTATGAAATAAAAGACAATAAAAGATAATTAATAAAAATAAATTTCATTTTTTATTCTAAAATGTGTCAAAGACACTACATATATAATAATATTAATGGGCCTTTAACTAAAATGTCCAATACCAATAAAAGCCTAATAATAATACAAATAAAACTTCAACTAAAATAAATTCTTCTTGCAAATAAAATATTTAAATTCTCTAATTTAAGTCCATAATCCTAACACAATTACTCTCTATCATTCAGCCATTCACGTAACCCATGTTTTTGGTCCTTCTTCTCCTCAACATCCAATAGAAGACCTCTGACAATTGATAGAGTATCTTTAATTCCTTGAAGATCTTCATAAACGCCATGTACTCGAGAAGCTTCTTCACAAACATATGAAGCAAGCTTTCCAAAAAGTGAATAAACAATATCAAACACAAATGATTTAGCCATGATATGATGACAACAAAGTAAACAAATAAAAAACACAAGTGGTGTTTATGGAAAGTGGTTGTATTTGTGACTTCATTTCAGATTCATATTTGCATTGCATTAACCTAAGTCAACAACTTAAGTCAACAGGCGAAGATTGCCGCAATCTAAACACATATTTTATTCATTTTATGCGACAACAATACAATAACAAGTGGAATACAACGGGGGTACGTACGTGTACTGTTGTGATACACATATTTGTGATCGAAATCCAATCCAAACCAGACTGATTACACCTCTAATAATATACGCATTTGTAAATATAACAAGAATGTAAAAAAGAAAAACAAAATTAGTTTATCAAAATAATTTATTATTTTTAAAATAAAATATATTTTAATTTATTTATGGATCATAAATAACATTTTTTCATATATAAAAATATTTGGAGGAACGGTGTATTTTTCAGTATGTAATATTTTTTTGTTATATATATATATATATATATATATATATATATATATATATATATATATATATATATATATATATATATATATATATATATATATATATATATATATATATATATATATATATATATATATATATATATATATATATATATATATATATATATATATATATATATATATATATATATATATATATATATATATATATATATATATATATATATATATATATATATATATATATATATATATATATATATATAAGTGAAATGATTACATCAATAATATATAATTTATTTTTTATAGATTATCTTAAAAAATTTGTATTTTAAATTAAATATAATTTTAAAATAAAAATATTAGTAACATAAATAATTAAAAAATAACATATTTTTCTGTGTTTGGATTTATAGTTTATTTTACATATTTTTATTTATATTTTCTTTAATTGTACAAAAAATGTAACTCGTACGTTCGCACGAATTCTGACAATGTTCTCAAGCTTAATATTTATAAACAACAAGGAAAAGAAAAGATACACCTAACAGTGACCCTTCTACTACTTGCAGTCTTCAACCAACAAGAGGCGAGTGGTGCCACACTTGAATGAGTGGTATTCTTCTAGAAAGGTAGGGCAAGAGATGCGTGAGAATTTGATTCACTCTTCCTTTCTTCTCGATGATATTTTTCTCTAAGTTTTTTCAACTTTTAAACTTCTTTTCAATTCTCAGCGCTAGTCCTTTTAGTGTCTCTTTCATTTGTAGGCTTGCTTTCAACTCTTGAATTTTGGGCATTTTTGTTGCCCATTGATTTGGCCTAAAGAATAAAACATATTTGTTTTTTTTCTTTATTTGTTAATACATGTATTGGAGTAGTACATAGTGCATGCAGGAGACAACAAATCTCACAACAGACCTATTGTGTAGGGGGTTAGTGAAGCGCTTCAAAACAGCTTTTACATAATTTGTCCTATAGCGCCCATCCTTATCCATTAAGCTTTCCAGCTCATCCCTAATTTTATTCCTGAAAACTCTTCCACGCCAACCCTAATGTTCATAAATTTTTGACATGACAGTAATTCTCACTATAACTACTCCCACATACAGACACACACAAAAACACATAAAGATAACAAAGAAGATCACCTAGTGCGCTCTATGCTATTAAAGCTAACTTCTTGTAAAACACTTAAGTAACACTTATAAAGCTCAAGTGTACCAAATAACTCAAGTATGAGATGATTAATTATCTCACAAATAATGAATTATCAACTAACAAGATTTTTTTTAAAGGCCAAAAGAAAATATATTATTATAATCAACCACCAAATATAAAGTATGTTTTGGAAAACACAAAACTAGATACACAAAATGAAGGTACAACCTCTACATAAATCACCTGAACATAATACAACCACAATACAAACTAATACAACCCTAACTTACACACTACATCTAAAACCCAACTAATAAAATGATAACAAGAAAAAAGAATATCAAAACTCTCTTATACTGAAAGCAATACATGGCCAGATACAAATGATTGACAAGCTGCGAAACCAAGACCACACCAAAAGCAATGTTTGTCACATTAACAAATTGATAAAACACTAACTTCTTCCACACTCATTTGCAAATTTTCAAATTTTATAATTCAATCGCCTAATTATCTCTAGTTCAAATCAACTTCGACCATAACCGATATAAAAATCGGGAAAAGCAGAAGGTGTACCAAATTACGATGTTATCTAAGGTGAGAGACCTTCATAGATTTCTCACTGTATGCGAGCAAATTTTGTGTTTTTTTCTTCAATTTTCAATCATTTAGAGGGGGTTAAAAAGCCAAACTATTTTATTATTATCATTATTTTTAAAACTCTTATAATTTTATTATTATTTTAATATTATTGTTCATTTATAAGGACTAAAGACCACGCTATTTCATTATTATCATTATTTTTAAATTTTGTTATTTTATTACTATTATTATTATTATTATTATTATTATTATTATTATTATTATTATTATTATTATTATTATTATTATTATTATTATTATATTACTGTTCACTATTGGTTTGAAATAGCGGGAGTTTTTAACCCCAGCAACATATTGAAAAGAGAGAAAAAAAAGGAATTTAAGGCCTCTCACATACTGATGACTCCGAAACAGCCTATATAATTTATAATTCATTAGTTTATGGTGTTAATTAAAAATTGTTAGTTTTCCTTTTAACCACTTCAAAGACGGCATTTCCAACAAAAAGATCCACATATTCAATTTTGTTATCAAAAAAGTCTTATGATTACGCTTTTTCCAAGTAGTCCTAATACATACAAACCAAATGACCGTAAAACTTTTCGTCTTCACTCTTCCATTGCATATCACACATGCAAATTGATGAAAATATGTCAAAGAGGAATTGTGAAAAACAAATTTTAGAATTTTTTTTTTGAATAACTATGTATTAAAAATAAATTTCGCAAATAATCATGTTTCGGAAAAAATTACGCAAATAATCATGTTTCAGATAACTCCCCAAAGGAGGAGCCATCTCACTTGGCGCCTACACCCATTATTTAAGGGGAGGCGTCATCTCACTTGGCGCCTAGGTGCTTAGGGCATGCCCTAAGCCAAGTGAGATGGCGCCTTAGTGCAATTCTAGGACAAATTTTGCGTTTTTTTTCCAGTCCGGTGTGTTGCGTATTGGATACAGGATCAATAAAATTGACTTTTTATTAAAAATAATAATTACATCCATATGTATTACATTAAAAAAGCAGATAAAAAACCCAGATAAATCAGTGATCCCCGGAACCCGGTAATGACCCCCGGTTCTGCATCCCCGTCCTCGCCTTTCCCGTGCTGGGTGTCGTCGTGTTTCCTGCTGTGGCAGGGTCGATGGCCCAGTAAAGTCAATACGTTCCAGATCCATGAAATCAGTCAGATCTCCATATCTAAAAGATCCGCTTTGGTACAGTCGGTTACCCGTACCCTCAAAGTTTGGTCGTGTTGGCGGTGGGTGGGGTTCCATGGTGGGTTTGTAGTATTGATCGTCTGAGTACGGGGGGTAAAAAGGAAATGGATCTTGGGGTGTTTGGTATTGAGGATGTTGGGTGGTTTGGTGATACTGTGGTTGATGGTAAGTTGGGTCGGTTGGTTCGTAATCTCCCGATATTCCCAGATCAGGGCTAAGGCTGGATGTTGAGGGGTCCATATTGGGATATACAGAAGACTGAAATTGTGTATGGGGTATGCGGGTGTGTTGGTATTGTGATTGGTATTGCGGTTGGGTGTGAGGCATATGGGGGTATTGGTACTGAGGTGGTGATTGTGGGACATTTGGGTGTAATTGTGTTGTGGTGGGTACTATGGTTGGGTGTTTGTGGTTCTGTTTCGTCTGGGTGGTTGGTGGGAGGTTGTTGTGTGTTGGGTTTGTTGTTGGGAAACGAGGGTTGTGCCCATTGTGTTCGTGGGTCAACCAAATACCTTGGATGAGACACGTGCATTTCAGGGTTACTAACCGACCTGTACCAAGATAAATACTGATCCGTGTGTCGCATATTACCATGATTGAGGAAAATCGGGAATTATAAGACATGTCGGTGACGCCTCTGCCACATCTTACACCATTATAGAGCAAATTCTTTCTAGTTGGTAAGACCCCACTGGGCGTCGACCCTTTTGAGATGCCACGGGGACAAACAAGTCGGATCACTTGGTATCTATTGATGCATTCTGAACTGCATCTTCACACGGCCGTTGTGGTGCATCTCTACAACATTGAACCGTATGATTGCAGTCTCGGCGCTCCAAATTGCTGCATCCTCGAGGTTTGGTTCATGGCCCAAACCCAAATATGGTCTCCAAACAAACTACGAAAAAAATTAAACTAGGTTAATGAAAACGTAATATATAAATAATTTAAATGAAGAAAAGTTTAAAAGTACGACGTACATCATCCGGGCCTAGGTGATCCAACAGATTGCAGTATAGTGGGACATTGAATCTTGGATTCTTGCCATAATCCATACCCCTCACGCAATACCTAAAGGAAATGAAAACCATTTTATTTTTAGCATATATTTGGTGAAGAGATGAATAATAATAAATGATATAACTTGATGACTTACTTTGTTGCGTACGGGAAAACGAAAGTGTTGTTGTTGACGGAGTTTAAGGACTCCATCCTCCACCAACCCCAGGCTTGTAGTAAAAAAGCGCAGCCATAAAATGTACATTTTTCCTTGACTGCATTTTTGCACAAGGAACTGTATATGCGGGATAAAACTGCAGAACCCCAACTATACTTTCTTGTTTTTTCAAAATCTCTAAGTAAATGTAAATACATAAAATTTACACTATTTCCCGTACTTTCAGGAAATAAAAAGGTTCTAAATAGTATCATTAGATAAGTTCTGGCTTTTACTACACTTTCTTGTTCGGAGGAATTTTCGTTTAATTCCAAACTTGCATAATGATTTTTAAGCTCAGTGAGTAGTATACCCTGACCTCTCGCACCACCACCTTCAACCATATCCC